TTGGACCGATGCAGCTCACTAATGCTCTCGATCCAGTTGTCTATGACTTTGGGGTTCTTCTCTGGGTTTTCAATGCTCTTGACTTTCACTTCCTGTGAAACAGATGTGCATCATTTTCTCATTTCACTTGCCTAGGCCAAAATAAATGAAAGCACCTTAAGTCATCTAGTGCGAGTGTGTGAACTCACAGCAACATTGTGTTGTTTGCTGTTCTCTGACAGCCACAGGGAAAGCACTGTTGGGTCTGACTGTTTAGAGCACGGCTCATCCAGAACCAAGAGACCCAGATTGTCAGCCTTCCCATCTGGTCGTGGTACCTGTGGGTTGAACAGAATGATTCAGAAACTGAAAACTGGACATTCATGTCCGGTTCAGATTTGAACATTTTCACTCACTTTGAGGAAAGCATCAATGTCCCCCACAGTTGGGATGAAATCAGGGATAAAGGGCTTCAGTTTGTGGTCAAGCTCTATTGTCTGTGGAGTATATCTGAAAGAAACACTCATGCAATTAATACCAGTAAGAATCCATGAGATATCTACAAGTCAAAAGAGTGTATTTTGAGTTTCTTATGTCTCAAAGGTTGATTTTTTTTCTATAAAAGTTCACATTAAAACTGTCTTAAACTTTTTTTTAATATATTTTAGCATTTTAAAACTTAATTTTTTTATATACAAAATAATTGTATTTATATTATAATTACTTATACTATATAAACAATTATATTAAAATTACCTAAATATTACTTACTGTGCACTTCTAATTTTAGCAAATATAAAAGTTTGAAAATATTATTTAATTGTTTAAATTTTCATAGTTTCCACCACCAACTCAATACATATTTTGAGATGTACATGTACATCTAGAAAAAAAATGACAGAATTCTCCTGTGATGTTATGTATATTCACTGTTAGACATTGTTAGCAAACAAATTTAATAAATAAGATTTCTTAATGTCGACAGGGTCAAAAGTGCTCATAATTGAAGAAACACTCATTTGCAGTGAACGAGTGTTAAAGGTCAGTTTGCCAGATGTTTTTCTGTTTGTGTTTTGTGTGCAGGTGCACATCAAATGCAGTTAAGTTGGTGCATGCTAACCTTGTGATGTACTGAAACAGCTCTTTGATCTCAGCTGTCACAGGAAGATGTTCATAATCGGCTGGGTCATATGCACTGTGAGAAATCATCCACACACACACAAACACACACATCCACATTATTTTCAAAAATAATAAAGTAGCTTTTTGTTTTGAGTAGATATTATAACTACTGTATAATGCTCTTAGTACTATTGATAAAACATATTACTGAAAAGTGTTGCAACTTATACAACTTGTCCACTTCATCACTGTATATATCCTCTTTTTATACAGTTTCATTAAAATCAATCAATCTCTCTCATCTTGGGACAGCAGACAGTGTCTCAAATGAGCGGCCCTACCCTTCTGGAGCAGATCCAGGCTCCCCTTCCTCCTCATCAGACTCTGTGTCATCGGAATCATCATCGTCGTCATCATCATCATCATCATCCTCCTCCTCCTCCTCCTCCTTCTCCTTCTCCTCCTCTTCATCATTCTGATTAGTAGCACGGGCACCAGGTGGCGGCTCTTTCTTTCTCTGCTGTCAGATATGAACAGGTCATTCAAACTTCATTTTATCCTTTCCCCAAATAAGAGTTAGTGAACTTACTTTAGTGTCCTCTTCTAGTTTATCGCCAGCATAAGTGGCCATGGCGCTCTGCTTCTGCCTGCCTGTCCTCCTGGAAACTGAAATAAAGACATAATGGCATAAAAAACAGTTGATGAATGGTAGGTAAACTGTAAAGAAGTGGTAAACAGTCTGACCTATCTGTCTTGGGGATGGTGTATGCACACTGGCCGCCTCCTCTGCATTCACCTCAAAACTCTCATCGTATGGCTGGTTGGTTTTGAGTTGAATCTGTTTGCCGATATTATTTGCACTTTTTAGTTTTTACTAAAACTGGGGGCCAGTTGCATAAACTGTTTAGACTAGTCTTAAAAAGTTAATAATCATCTAATTTTTTCCCCCTCAAGACTGGTCATAACTTTTTTAATTCAGTTATGAAAAGGCAGATTGGTCTTATTTGTATTGGAGAAGTAAGACTGATTACCCCTTGGCAACTTCTAGTTGGTCAAACTAACGTTAGTTCTTAAGACACAGTCTTACCATGGAGGCTAAGTTTATGCAACTGGCCCTGGGTCTCATAACCTAGGGAGATGCCTATTTAGAATGTATTTTTGAGTCATAGTGATACCAAAACGCTGCTGACTCAGAACATGTCTATGATGCCCTAAAATGCTGTCTAGGTAAGTTAGGCAGCATAACGTTACTAGGTTTAGAGACGCAGGTTTAGCTTTTTTGCTTTACGGGACTATTATAACCTACATAAAAAACGTTTTAGGAAGCAACTAATAACCAGTATCTTTTAGATAACATTTTTAGACAAAATGTGACACGCAGAAATTAAGGAATAACAATGTTTTACTGTAGCTTGGTGTTTGATGGGCGCGCTACATTGATTTACGAGCTACATCGAATAGCGAGCCAGAAAATACACTACATTAGTGTCTTAAAGAAATTCTTACGTATTTAACATGGTACGCAAGATTCAATTATTGACATTAATAATAATAGCAAACCTTTTGTCGCTCAGACTTCTCCATGAAAACACGGTGTATTGTTGCCAAGGAAACTTGATCTCGCGAGATGTTCAGCGGAAGTGC